TTCAGAACACCGAGAATATTTTAACCTTATAGTGGGGTCTGTGTATATACATAGTTCTAAAATCTGATGCTTACAGAACACACAAAAATGGTTCAGCAGCTGCTATGCTATGGCAGCTGTTTCTCTTGTTCTGTACTGTCATGCTGTCCCTGTTTATTTCAACCATTTGTCAATCCATCTGTTGTTTCAAACTAGATTTCAAAAGCTTCTGGGTGGAGAGAGACCATTCAAGTTACAAACCACCTTTGGAAATGCATCTGTCCCATCTGAGCATTATGATAATCAAATTAAGGTTATCTTTTCATCTCATCCCCTCAAGTAAGCAATTCATCCATGATACAGTTTTCCTTTTTCACAAGAATATGTTCGGGGATTAGATATATTATTCATTTCTAGGAAGAAACATCATCACATAATACTACCTGGTTTCACACACGCTTCTGATAAAACCTAACCTGTTAAGCCTTTAAAAAAAAAACCAGGAGCTTCATTAAGACATTCAGTGAAAACCGAGCTAATGCGATAGATGCGAATTGCAAAACTGCATTAAATCTTGGCGGAAAAAATCGATACGACCCAGTCTACGTTATTCAGAGACCTTTCAAAAAAGACGAAAAGATTCAGCCCATTTTTCAAATATTAGATACAACCGCTTTTGAGCGATACCAAAATCAGTTGGCTTTGAATGCTATTCAAGGCTTCAGGGTAGGAGCAGAATCTCTCTGGTTTAAAGAGCAACAGGCTAGGCTGGGCTTTTTCATCTGGTTTTTATTTAACAGTAGTTTCCCCCGCTAAGAGCCACAAGCCAGCCTCGTACCATCGGGGTACAAAGGACGCACGTTCCCCCTCCGTCTCTCTCAACAGCCTTAACGTTCCGGGCGGAGCTGGCCATCTCCAGCTTACCACATCTCTTTCCCTGCGCTCAGCATCGCGGCGGCGGCCGTCTGTCTACGCCCATCGCCTTTACCGCCTTTGCTGGGAGCCAGGCTGCCGGCTCACTCCTTGGAGCAGCTGCCCTGGGGCGATGGGCGGCGGGGACCACCAAGCTGGAAAGCAGGGAACCCGCCGCTCACCCCTCCAGAGAGCTGCACGGGAAGCCCGCCGTCGAAGCTCCCAAGGCGCGGCATCCTCCGTGGCAGAAAAGCCCGAGACGAGGATCGGGGGATCGGGCATCCAGAGACGTCCACCCCGAGGCACGCTGGCGCTCGCCGCCTCGCTTGCTCTCCACTCCCGCGGCAGTGTCAGGGGAGGGGGGCTGACGTGATGCGGCAAGGATGGATAGGCGGAGGCCTCTGGAGCGGGCGGCGCACTTGTCTCACCCGCTCAGGCCATGAAAACGCCGGCTCGCCGGACCGTCCGGGCTCCGGTATCCCGCTGCCGACTGACCGCAGCACCTCACGCCGGCGCGATGGCCACGATCAGCCCAGATTCCCTCAAGGCAACAGAAGCAGCAAGTCTTGACTTAGTTCTTTGCCCATCCGCGCACTCTCGCCCGGTGTGAAAGGGATGAAAGGGAGCCGGCAGGGGGACGCCATCGCATTCGGCCCCTCCGGATACAAACCGCTACTCACCGCTTGGACAGCAGCTTCTCCTCGCAGCGGGTACAACAGCGTCCCGGCTCGGGAGAAGCCACGCCCCCAAGCCCGTCCCTATCCCACGTCTCGCCACGCCCCCTTTTCCATTCCAACCAGTTCTCCTGAATATTACTCAGCGTTGTTTCGATTGGTGGGAGCGACGCGCTGCTTCTGCTTCGCCTGGAAGATGTTTTCTTAGCCCCGCCTCTCCCCATGCGGATAAAGGAATGACAGCACAGGGGCGGGCTTCTTACGGTGATGCTATGGACGACCCTAAACGAAGAAGGCTGATAATTCAGTTGAACAGGTTCCCATGTGTGCATGTGTATGTCATACGTACGTACGTAGGTACGTGTGTGTGTGTGTGTGTGTGTGTGAATAATGTATGTGTGTATGTGTGTGTGTAATGTATGCTTGTGTCGTATATGACACAGGCATACACATACAGATACCCATATACATATATGCATATAAAAAAATTCCAGTCAAATACACTTCCTCCTGTTGAGCAAGAAATCAAAAAATGGGCACGCGTTCCAGTACATTCAATATATTTCCATTTATCAACTTGGTTTGAGCCTTGTTTTGTTCAACTACATCCATTATTTAGCAACTGCTGCTTTAAAAACTTGCTTTGAATAAACAGGCACAGATCAGGTGGTATTTATTATACTTTTAAATCACACAGTGTAACACTAAGGATCCAGTCTTATTCCAATTTAGATAATACAGAAACAGTTATTCACTCAGATAACTCTAAGCCATGTACAAGAAAAACATCCAGAGGCAATGCAACAATAAAACAGCACAATTATATAAAATCTAACACAATGTACATCATAATATAATCATTCTATTTCTGGTACAGGGAGCTTCACAATATTCACATCCTCAAAGATCCCCTGAAGCAGTCCTATTTTTACAAGCTTCTTTCTGTAGTAAGCTTCCTTCTTATATTAAGCTCCATAAGATTATTATTCTATTTTAATTCTGAATTTATAGTTCTGAATTTTAATTAAATTCAGAATTTTAATTAATTTAAATTCAGAATTTTAATTAATTTAATTCAGAATCAATTCTGTAATAAGCTTATTCAGTAATAAGCCACATAAGCTTTTTCTACAATAAGCTTTCTTCCAATAATATGCCACAAGATCTGCTACAGTAAGCATATCTGCTGTTTAAAATAACTGGCCTCTATTCAAGTTTTCCTTGTACCACTACTTCTAAGTATATTGGTGCAAAATACATACATTAACTATACCATGAGGATGTGTACATTGAGCCATCTAAACAGAACAGTTTTATTTATAACTAAAGCTAATGTGAAATTTAATAAAACTTAATGCAAATAAAACATTGAAATAAGATACTTCATTAAGTACACCATCATTTATAAGTTGACTTCTTTTAAAATTATTTTTACAGTTAGGCCATTAAAGCAGAGAGTATGAACAGTTTTGACTAAATGTTGTAGATTAAATCACAAAGGCATTTTTTTCTTAGTTGGTTGAATTGACACAATTATACTAGGCTAAAATAAGGCTGGCTACATTTACCACAGTATAATGCAAACTAGCTCAGTGATTAATTTCTGATTTAGAGCAGAGTTCCCCAACCTTTCTGGCTTTGCGGACCAGTGGGGGGGAGTGGGAATGGTTCTGTGCAAATGGTGGGCAAGTGCAAGCAAACAACTCCATTTGCGCGAACAGTGGGCATTCCCAATCAATTTACTAATTCTTCTATGTTTTATGAATATATAACATTCAACCTATTGAAGTACAAAGTACCCAATTGTAGTTTAGCCTAGGGGTGGTGCAATAGCTCAGCAATTCGATGTTGTTTGTCAGCTGGAAAGCAGACAGTCCAGATTCAAGTGTACGATGGGATGAGCTCCCCTTACTCACCACAACTCCTGCCAACCTAGCAGTTTGAAAGCATGCAAATGCAAGAAGATAAATAGGTATTGCTGACAGAAAGGTTACTGCATTCCATATTTTCATAGTGGTGGAAGCATCTTTCAGACAATGCAGGCTCCCTTGGCTGAGAACCAAGATGAGCAATGCCCCCTTGAATTGCTGAGAATTAGAAAGGGAAAAGCTTTATTTTATCCTAATGTGTTCTGGAAACTCAACCACTGAATAGTTTACAGTTCAATATTTCTATAAATTCAGGTAATTGGGTTAAGCTAACTAAGATTTTTATGCATTGTATTGAATGAACATAGTTTATAATTTATGCATGTTGAATTACACAAAAATCCTAATCTTAATTAACTGCACAAAACCTGTATGAAATGTGCATTGTGTGTGTGTGTGTCTGTCTGTCTGTCTGTCTGTCTGTCTGTCAGCCAAAAGTACAGCTAACAAAAATCCAGGCAATCTGAGCTTTTTAGTGCTGTTTAGGAAAAATCTGGGTTTTGCTGTTTTAGGCTCTCTAAATTCATAGTTAAGATGGCTTAGCTAAAAAATTTCATCTACAAAACCAGTTCAAATGGAAGGAATAAACTTCAGCTATTACATAAGAGATGAAGAACTGAGTCTGAAAGTTTTTCTTGTCCAGAAGTATCTGCAGTTAAATTTACTAGGATAAATAACATGCTTGGAAGATTCTGCTAGGTAGGACAGGTTTTAATATAAGTAAACCTGTTTACATTCTACCTGTGCAACCAGGAACAAAAAGAAATTAGTCTGATGCGTTTTGCTTGAAATTATGGAGAGAGAAATTATTGTCGAATGGATACTGTATTCTTGAACTTGGCAAGAAGAAACTAAGGGGAAGGAATTGAACATGCCCTACAGGTATTAGATGATTATTTCTCAGCCATTGGGAGCTCAATGGAGATTCACTTTCAGTTAGGTTTCCATCCTATCTGCCTCTTTTCTCCGATTCACTGGAAAAGGAAATGGTTTTTCTCTGATTTACAGAACAGTTTCCTTCGTGGCAAGGCAGGGGGGAAAAGGGCAGCTCAATGAAATGAGGAAAAAACCAGTACCAGTACGCCTAAAGATGGACTACGACTATTACAGTACTATAACGCGGTTCTGTGCACTGCTGTGTCCAATTAATCCCCCTTTTCCAGCCGAAATTACCTTTCTCGCCTCTTTCTTTTAAAAAAAATGTTAAAAACGACGGGGGGGGAGTGTTTATTCACGACACAATTTGAACTAAGCATGCTACCTGCCATGCCATTCTTCGGATATGAAAATTCAAGGCCGAGAATGGAAAAGAAATCCTACCGGAAAGAAACCACCCACTGCCCGGAGGAAAATAGAGTGCCACCCACTGGCATTATTATAGCTGAAAACCAACATCGTGTATGAGGAAATTCAAAATAATCCGAGCCCGCCTCGTAGCCAGGAGACAAGAGTCGCTCCGCCAACGCCCGACCCCGGACCCGCCTCCCGTCTCAAACTAATGACGCCTCTGTGAGCGCAATCAGGCCGCCTTGTCCTTCTCCGAGCCGGGGTGTTTCTGGGTACCGCGAGAATTGCTCTGACTGCAGGTCACTATGCCGGTAGGGCCGGGATGGCTGAGGAGCTGCTGGTAGGCTCAGCCCTTCGGCCCTCTTTGACGAAATGGCACCCCGAGACCGTCCGGTAGTGGCACCTCAGGCCGCCATGCGCAAACGCGGGGCTCGAAAGCGCCTCAAGTTTCGGGCCGAAGACGTCTGCTTAGAGCGGAGTGAGTAGCGAGGCCTCGGCGTCGTATCCGATGGCAGCCATTGTCCCCTGATCAGCTGCCCTGAACAGTCGCTTTCTTTCCGCAGTGACCGTGGCCGACTATGCAAATTCGGATCCTGCCGTGGTGAAATCCGGACGCGTGAAAAAGGCTGTGGCCAATGCGGTGCAACAAGAAGGTGAGTTTAGCCGAAAACGCTCCCCGAGGGGTTTAAACTTAACATCCTGTTGGGTTCGATTTTCTGGGCTTCTATCATAGCATTCTGGAGCATAAAGGAACTACGGTGACATTCCATGACAGAACAGGTGAATTTGAGACTCAGTGACACACAAGGTTACCAGAGGTTATCCAGCGGTAAAACCAATTACACTCTGATCTTTTTAAAAATATGTTTGGCGATAGTTGTGAACAGTCCTATAGCTTCTCTGGAAAACTGTCAGACAGTGTCTTACTTTCTATTGCAACAAAATCACTTTAATAGTATGCTTGCAAACTTTTCTGTATTATTTGTTTAGTACTTTCATTGATATATATTTATTCTGTCTCAATCTTATTTATTTTATGCCATCGGAGTTGTAGATGGCAAATATTTCACAACTGCCTGTTGGATGTTAAGTAGATGTTTCCTGTTTTTTTTTTTTTTTTTTTTTGAACTTTCAAACTCTTTCAGGACTGAATTTATTAAAATTCATATAGGATATACTTTGAAAACAAGCTATAAATTGAATAGTGAACTTGATTAATAATAGTTCTACATAAATTTATTCAAATTAGTCTTTTAATATGTCTCTTAATTGGAAAGCTGTAGGAAATAAAATCAAAATGAAAAAGGCATTACAGCCTGAACTTTCACATTCTTGAGTATTTATTTGTATCTTCTAATCTAAAAAGATAGTTTGAAACATTCAGCACAAAACTGTTTAAACATATTTAGATTACAAATTTGACTATCAGTTCTATCTTTGTAATCAAGTAAAAGCTTATGCAAAGGTACAGTGTTTTAAGAACTCACTGCCACTATCCAGAAATAATTTAGGAGTCTATATAAAATATTAGTCTAAATTGATCTTTATCCATTTTCCTAGTAACATTTATATGAAGGGTGGAGGTGTGTTTTTCCCCTGTTCATGGGGAAAAATGATAAGCATTTATCAATCGGTATTATAAGACAAATTGTTTCTGTTTAAGGGATAGTGAAATAAACAATATGTCTTTAATTACAACATGAACATTTGGTTTTTTACAATAAATTTTCATGTTTTTCCCTTATAGAAATATGTTTTCACATTTTTCTTTATTGTTGACCTATGAGCTATATTCATCTCTAAGCTCTTTTAATTTTACAGCCGTAGAAGTGTAAACAGTTCACTCTTTTTTAACTTCTAAACTATCAGCAACATTTTCTTGCATCATGATAGCACTTAATTTTCAAGGATAAATGAGCAAGAATATTTGCTTGAGAGAAGCTCCTAAAATAACAGAGAACACCAAAGGGTCATTTAATAGTGAATGCATTAACATTAGCCTAAAAATTAGCTTAGGATCTCTTGCTTCTGGATTGAAATACTGACTGACTCACTCACAGTTGCTGTAGTAGTTCACTTTCTACTCAAGAACAAATAGGTATAAGTCAAAGCTTGCAAACCAAAACAGAATCTTTAACAGACACTTACCTGAATAATTTTTTTAACAAAAACATATGGAAAAAGTTCAAAATTAATCCAAGGTTCTGAAAACCAATTCAGGGTTGTCCTCCAAGTAGCATCCATACAAATTGCCACCCAAAAGCCAGAGATCAGGCAGTTTTTTCCAGCAAAGGAAAATGAGTTTCTTAAATCAGGCAGTAACCAACTGTCACTAATTAAGAAATATACTCCTTTGCTTGGCAAGAAGCCTCATAGAATGGCTCTGTTCTCCTCTCAGCTTATTGGGGTGCAGAACAGAGGTGGTACTCTGCCGTTCGCACCAGTTTGGGTGAACTGGTAGTGGTGGCGGCGGGAGGCTCCGCCCAGAAGTCATCACTGACGCATGCATGCACACTCCTGGTTTCAAACTTATAGTGAAGGTAAGAGGATTTCATGCCTGGTACAGAAGCTGGGAAGTCTTACATCATCTAACTGTTCCAGCTGTCTAGGTGCTGTTCTTTATCAGCCTCTTGTGATTCTTAGCTTTGTGTCTCCTGAGGTTGACATTCCACAGGTTTTGCTGGAGCCTTTTCTTCAAAGTCAGAGCTGCATCTGAGTCCTAGTCTAAGTACTCACTTTCCTCAAAATCATTTAACCTAGCTAGGGAAATCATGTTTGAGGTTCCATAGGTGGCTCTTGCAGCAACACCATGGCAAGGGTATTGGGCTTTTTCTGTGACAGGGCCTTAATTAATAAATTTTCTCCTAGGGGAGGCATGAGTGTCTGTGCTCTTTTATTTATATTTCTAATTGGTTTATTGAGGATTGCACCAGTTTTAAAATCTTCCGAAGAGAGAACAAGTTGAAAATAAAATAATATTTGATTTAATTTTAATTTCCTTTTAATTTTTCCTGATTTTAAAATAACTAGGATACCCTCCATTTGACCAGAATTTTTCCTTTTGGGATTGATGGACAAACAGTTGGGGAGGAAGTTATGGAACATTGTTTTTGTATATGATAATCGCAATGAGAGTATTGTATGCACAAAGATAGAAAGATTTTACACTTACAATGGAAGATTGATTGGAGAAAATAACAGAACTTGCTGGGATGACCAAATTGACTTGTTTTATTAGGGAAAAGATAATATCTATATTTATTGCAGAGTGGAAATCCTTATGGATTCTTTGTATAAAACAGAAAAATAAGCTTAAAATAAGATTGATGATTAGACAGGATAATTATTGAAAGAAAAGAGTCATATAACTATAGAGAAAGAGCTAAATCTCTTAAATCAGTCCTCAACATCTTAAAAAATACGTTGATTTTACAATTGTAGTGGCCAAACAAAACAAAATTGTTAGGTTAATAATGTTGGAAGTCTTGACCACCGTAGGTCACTATAAAAAATGAAAGTCTATAGGGAAAAATAATATCCATATGTTAGGACTATTATTTCAGGATTTTTCACCCACCCTGTATCTTGCTAATTCAGCTAGTGCAAATCACTATATTTGAGGTTTTTCTTGTCCTAGTCTAACATCCATCTTGATCCTCTTTTATCCAGCTGCGGGTCTCCACTATCAATTTATTCAGTATATTTGTTTTCAGGACACTGCCCCTTTTCCCTCTTCCTCTACCAGAATGTCTGTTGGCTACCTTTCCTAATACACTCCCTTGGTCCCATTCTAATTAGCCTGTCTCTGCTTTCCTCCAGAATTCAGATTCTTTATCACCTCTCTTTCTCAAGCCTCATCTGTCTAGTTTTTCTTCATATTTCTTATAAACCAATGCTTGTTCTATAACTTTTGTCCAGATAATCTGCTTTTAATGTCCCTTCCTTAACTTATCTGGTTCTTGGGATAACTTTCAGTCTTTCATTCTCTCTTGTGAAACTTTCCTTCTTAAATGAACCTTAACCACATGTTTCTTAATGCAAGCCATGCCACCAAGCCATTTCAAGCAGCTGGAGGTTTCCTCGCTACTGGATAATAGACAAAAAGATTGTCTTTCATATAAAGGAATGCATGTTGTCCCACATGGCAATCAGAATGACAGGATGACCTACAACATCTTTCTTTGTGCCTACTGGCCCCAAAAAGAATTTAGATTTAGATCCTCCTATTTTTCCTATTGTCTCTTCTCTGGTGGTTTGGATTATCAACATGAATTTATTTTACATTCTTGATTCTAGGGCATCTGCTAATTCTTAAATCTCAAATTATTCCATTTATTTATGATTATAGTGAAATCACTCTGTGGTTTGGAAGCATCTTTCGTACCCACTGATGAAATACTATCTGTGGCAGAGTCCTATGACAGTGGCGATGAAATGGATTCTAAATATTTCACCACTGATGAATATTTCATGACTGATAGAAAAAAGAAAAGCAAGAGGCATAAAGGTAAGATCTATTGTTTCAACTGTTACTTTAACATAATTTCACTTCAACAATAAAATATTTTTATCTCTTCAGATAAAATCAAGCTGCTTTCTTCTTAAAGCATGGCCAGTTACATTGCTTGTTTTATATTTCAGAAAGCTCTGAGAGTGTGGTAGGCAAAGAATATCCAATTGACATATGGTTGATGTTGGCATCCTATATACGTCCAGAAGACACTGTGAGTTTTTCTCTAATTTGCAAAAGGGCCTGGATTGTTACTTGTACAGCTGTATTCTGGACCAGACTTTATAGAAGGTATAACAGCTTGTGAATTCTTTATTCTATATGGTATATGTATTTTAATAGTTATGGGGCTTTTTATAGATTATTTGTGGTGGACACCTTTATGAGTAGCGTGTATAGGAATCTGAGTATAAAAGATCAATGTTTCAATACTTAATGATGTATTTTGTTCTGAGATACAATTTTCCCAGACCTGTCCACTGATTCTTTTATATCCTTTTTGATCAGAACAGTAAGAGATAGCATAACATCAAAATTTAGGGCTGTGTCTCACTTCAGATTTCATATAAAAGGTATCTCATAGCATGTGGGGGAACATTTGTCTGCAACTCCATAACCCAGGAACACTTCCTGGTATCACACAGTAATTGCCACACAACCATAGAAAAAAGTGCAATCACTTTAAGGTTGCTTGTTCAAAAAACTAATGTATTTATATTCTGATACTTCAAAGTGCTTTTTTGTCTTTGAATCCAAAGCCTGCATAGCTGTATAAAATATGCATATATAATTGGTAGCATGGATTACAAAATATACATATGGTATAAAAACAATACCTCTTTGCATTATTGTCAAAGAGAAATTGCTGGGATTCATAGGAAGGTACTTGAGAGCTCGTAAATTAGTAATTGCTACAGTTCTTTGGACTTGCAGAACTACTGAAGCTATGAAATCAACTTCCATTATATAACTGAAGTAATTGCATTGATTTCCTTGAATCAGTTAAAACAGATTGTTTTAGATTTATGACTATTGCATGATAGAAAATGAGTCATATGGTCCTCCCTTGCATATAATATAAATTTACAGCAACGTTTTCCATTACAATGGACAATGCTATATTGCTAAGGAAAGGCATAGTGCAGGATTTTTTTTGTTTTTATAATTTTTTCTTTCTCTAATCCTTCAGCAGGAAATTGAATTCAAGCCAGTCTTTCTTTTAGGTAAACACAGCAATTCCTAACATCATACTTTTAGCTGGCAACCCATGATCTATTGAGTCATTATTTCAGAACTATTTCCTTTTCAGATTCCTCAATGACTGAGCCTCAATTCAGAAAAATATTCAGAGATATATCTGCCTTCAAAGTTGATCTATATGGCATAGTCAAATAAAAATAGTTGACAAAGTGTACCGGAGGGAATATGCTGTGATATTTTGTATTATGTCATAAAATATTTTTAACATTTGCCAGATTTCAATTTTAAGGAATTTATGGATTCCGGAGTTCAGACACATTCTGTTAGTCCATTTCAGGTACCTTGAAACAAAAAAATGTTTTACCTAATTAAAAGTTACAGGAATATGTTTTAGTAGGGTCTAGATGGCCTAGAAATATTATTTAACCTATAGGAGACTCTGCCTCAATGCAGAGTCTCTGAACAGAGAAAAAAATTGAAGCATTTGATAAAAAATAAATTAATGGGGATTAGAGAAGAGGCATTATGCTAATTGGAGCATTCAACCAGAGTACCTTCCTACTCTCTCTCCTATGAGAGTTCAGAAGCTACGTCTTGACTTTCTGGAGGTCTGCAGTTTACAATGATGGATGATGCACAGTTGGAACTGCACTACTTAAATTGTACTGTTATTATTTTGTTTTTGAGGAATTAAGGATGGAAATGTTGGCAGGAGACCTTTAGTTTCCCCATCAATGCAATTTCAGAGCCATAATAACTGACAGTACAATTTCTTAAGCATCACAGAGAGAGGCAGTTAAAAGTGAGAATTAAAACAATTTGCTTCCCAAATGCCTCTTGCTTCTATTCCTATCCTTTACTTAGAAAAAAATGCCACCAAAGTTGCTGTTATGCTTCCAGATTTCAGTGGCATGATCTCAGAGTGCATAGCATGTATTTCATCCCTATCTTATTCTTACAATTTTAATTTTTCTTATTTAGGCATTATAATAGGAGTGCCTCCCTCCCAATCCGTTTACAGCCAGAATCAATGGAAAAGATGTACTGCCTTCGTGCATGTGTAATTCGTTCATTATACCATACGTATAGACCTTTTATTTCCCGGATAGCCAGAAATCCAACAATCCCGGAGGCTACTCCAAGCAGTCTAAAAAATTCAAAAGTAAGTAACACTTTGAGAAGAAGAATTATCCCACTGAGTATTAGCAGATTTCTTTCAAACTAATGAAAAGCATGCAAATGGGTCCACTGCCCAGTACATATTTTAGACAGATGTTGTCTTTATTAGGGGTGGTTTTTTAGACTTCTGCAAGCTTCTTAATTATGTTTTAGGTTTATTATGTTTGCTGTTTAATCTACCAATAAAGAAATCAAAATTTTGAACCTTAAAATAAGTTTATTATTTTTGGTTTCATGTTTGAGAGCAATTTATAACTATGTATTACAAAATAAAGTCAGCTCATTAAGGTGGGTTTAGTTGATACCTAATCCAGCACCCAAAATTGATTTATCGTAAATGCTTTGTAGTCACATCACAACGGCTTTGGTGTCCACAGTTCGTATCATACTAACAATTTGTATATCCTTTTGTGGGTAAAATTGGCACTAAAAAAGGAAATTAAATGTAAAAAATCTGTATTACAGTAACAGTTACAAAATTGGTTACATTCCAAAAACAATGAAATTATTCAGTTCCTCCTTACAATTGTTGAAATGCACATCTTCCATATGTGCGTGGCACTATCTTTGTACACTTTATCGTCAAAGAGCCTGTATGCTTAGACTTTGTTTTTCTTCATTTATAATCTCCTCTCCTTTGTGGAGTTCACCACAAACATTGAGCATGCAAAGTAGGAAGAGACTGGTATTTTTCTTTTTGGTTACTGAATCCAGCTTTTTCCTATTTAATTTCCCTTTCTCTTTCTCAGTGTAGCTTCTGTGGGACACTGGAGCTGTTGTGGTGTCAGCAAAAGTTGCCCTTAAAGACAGATCCACTGTTTGGAGCAGCATACCAGTTGGTACACATCTGAAGGGTAGGACAGCTGGCATGTGGATTTCTATGTCTTAGGAAATTCTTAAGCTACTTTCCTCCTTTTAACTAATATTCCAGGTTTCACAGACAAGAGGGCTAATTCTACTAGCTGCATCCCTCTGAATCTAATGCAGGTAGTCCTCTTTAGTGACTGCCTCGTTTAGCAACTATTCACAGTTATGACAGTAATAAAAAGGTAACTTTGTGACCAATCCTTGCATTTATAACTTTCTCATGTCTGTAAAGCAAAGGAAAGCTGAAGTAAGATTATAAGCATAGTTACAATTTCTCTTAGTGACCATTTTGCTTGTGGTCACTAAATAAGGATTACTTGTATGCAGCTGTAATAATTTGCTTTATAAAGATGAGATGCTTACTCCTATAGTTTAAAAAAAAGTAATATTGCTATGCATGTCTAGACTTTCTTTTATCAAAAGAATATTCTATCAGTTGTTACGTTAGCAAGATCTGTCTCTGCTTATTAATTTATTTAAACTTGTATGCCACTCAGTTCCCAATACCTCTGGCTTACAACAATCAACAAAAAGGAAATTATAATAAAACCAATAAAAGGATAAACGATTAAGCTTGGATTTTATTGATATATTCACTGTAGAATAGCTTTTGTCATAAGAGGTGAATGTTGCTTTTCAAATCTAATGGATGTTTAATAAAGTTGTGAATGGGCATCTTGTATGATAGTTATCTTCTCCATAAAAATCTGGAATGTCTGCCCTATTCTGGTTCCAGTAGTTTCTTGATTTTTTTCTTGATAAAGCAAATAATGAGCAATTCTTAGCAATATTTTGAAATCATTATTTCTAGATTCTTTAGATTCAATTTGGAAATATTTGTTTAAGTTCATCTTTCATTTTATTTCCATGTAGTATCTATTTCTGTTCAGAAGAGGAAGTGCACATTATAATACAATGATATCCTTTTTTGAAATTGATGCCAATGTTATTTATTTTACCCTCAAAGTGATTTGTTAAAGTATAGAAACTCCAGACTGGATTATTTGAATACGTTTATGTTCAATAAGCCACAATCTTCATTCCAAAGAGGTTGGAAGCCTAGTGCTTTATTGCTTTATGTCTGTATAACACTATGTCCACAGACCACAACTCTTTCTCTTTTGCTCAACTAGTGCCTGCTTTTCTGGTCTAAAAGGATTAACCAGCAGTCTTCACTGTGGGAATTCAGCTTCAAATTCCAAAGGCAGGTATGAAAGCTAAACATTTGTACTCATGTCAAAATTTCATATTTCAGAATACCTCTCTGGCATTTATAACTCATTGTTATACTTATGCATACAACAGAGTGCATCTTGTTTGGCAAGATGCATGTCTAGATTACAGTCCAAAAAAGATTCTGTTCATAATGGGGAATAGTGGGGAAATTGGGGTATTTTGTAAAAATGTACTCGCACACAATCTGTTCATTTTCCTTGCTGGTGATCAGGATAGTGCTATTCTTACCAAGCTGGAACATTCTATTAAAATTGTGACACAAAATGTACATTTCCCCCCCAAATCCTTCATAAGAGACAAAACAGCATGAAGTAGCATGTAGCGAAACAGATATAAACTGCATAAAATTAGTTATTGTGAGGAGTGGGGTATTAATATCAAACTTGAGTGCAATAGTTCCCATAGGTTTATTTCCTCTAAAGGTAACTCCTATAGATAGAAATTGTTTGTAGTTTACTTAAAGTATATTAGGGTTGTTTATTAATGCAATGTGCTGTTAATCTTACAAGCTACTACATGTCATATTTGGACTACACTCTTAATCATCTGAAATCATATCCACAGCAAAAGCAAGGGCCTATATTCAGACAAATATAACAATCTCCATTATAGCCAAGATTTGTTATATTAAAACTATTAAATGTCACATTGGTTTCCCCAAAAAAGTATAACATATGTAGGTCAGTCCTAATCCTTCAAAGACAGGCCTACAAATTCTCCTGATTTGGTACCTAACTCTTCTCTAAGCTTGTAATTTGAAAGTTTGTAGAATTTGAATCAGTTTCTGGTTAACTAAATGAAATATTTCTCTTGAGTCTCCCAAGTTGAAGAATAAACGTTTGAAACCACTTCAACCACCTGTCCGGTATGCAGATGTCCACATGAACCCTGACCAAGACTGCTGTCTGTTGCAGATAACTACTATCGACTTTATATATATTCCTATAGTAATGGGCATGACAGTTACATTGGTAAGTATTGTGATTTCTTTGCTAAGTTTCCGATCTTTATAGCAGGAATTTTGTTCACTTAATCTTGACCAAATAGTTTCTAAATTTGAAGTATTGTGGTAGTTCGTGGATTACAGCTTTAAATGGGATCAGAATTTCCACCACTAAGCCAAGTGATTGTTAAGAGAAACATCATATCAATGCACTGCTTAGCAATAAGTCCCAATTGTGGTCATTAGGTGAGGACTGTGTGGTCATTAGACAAAGATCTCACACTTCTGCCCTGTGAGAACTGCCTCCACTTTAACTACTCTACCAACCAGTGCTCCGTAGGCTCTGCCGCACCCAGCTGACCTTCACTGTCTTCCTCCAACTGCTGATGAGCATCCACTTTGGCCTATGTGAGGCAGCTTCTGGCAGTGCTAAGATTTCTTCCCAAAGGCCGCTTGCTTGTTCTCATAATGCATTGGAAGGCTTATGAGGTGTTTTGAAACCTGCCAGGAGGCTGGCTGCAGAACAGAGCTTAAGGCAGCTTCACAGTAGTGTTGAGGCTGAAGTAGAGGCCCAGAGGCCCGTGGCAGCTGACTGAGGCTGGCAAAGACCCCAGCCTCTTTTTCAGCCCTAATGCTGTTGCCCAAAGAGTGTTGCTGCATAGGGCAGCCAAAAGGATAGAGATGAGGGAGACAGGCAGGTTGGAAGTTAAAGCGCTTTTGTGGTCGTAAGTGTGGGCAGATTGCCAAGTGCCTGAATTTTGAACACATGACACATCACAGTTTTGCTGCTCCCCATAATTTCAGAGATTGGACGTAAGTACCATTTGTTCAACACCACCTAACTTTGAACGGTTCCTGAACAAATGGTCATTAAGCTAGGACTACCTGTATTTTTCAAATAAAAAAGTCTTCAAGCAGGCACAGATAAGAAAAATACAACTTTGAAAACTATATTGAATAGTCTAATAAGGAATGACTACCACATGTGATTTTATTATAGATTATAAAGTTTCAGGAAAAGCAAATATTGCCCTGAAGGACTTGCTCAAAGATAACAGTTCATTTTTAGAATATTTACAGACAAAATCAGTTTAAAACATTGAATAAAATGCCATTTGATTTTGGGGTTAAGGAAGCCTGTGTGATCCAAATTATTGAACAGCTTCCATTTTCTTTTGCAGTTCACAATAAATGTGAGCACTGACATGCGGCACCACAGAGTGAAATTAGTATTCCACGATTCTCCAGTATGGAGTGGCAAGAAGCCCAGATTTGACCATGGGATGCAGGTTGTAATGGACCCTGTGCACAGTGTGCATCTGTTTGATTGGTGGCATCCACAGTTTCCATCTTCACACATCTGAAGACTCTCAAGTTTACATCATAAATTGTATTCTGTGCTATTTCCATAAACAACAACAATTTGATAAGCCAGTCTATGTATATGCTTAATCACCTCTTGGGAAATAATTTGTGCTAATAAGATTAGAAAGAACTTCTGTAAAGCATTTTATTATATGAAAAATAATTCATCTGCAAATATTTTGGTGCTAATGAAATTTGTCCTTTTGCTTTTTGAAAACAAAACACAGCAGAAATGTGTAACCAAAAGCCAACATGGGTTTCTCAAAAAAAAAACAAAAAAAAAAACCGCACGCCTGATAAATCTTACTGCATTATTTGACAAAGTGACAAAATTAGTAGCCAAAAAAAATACTTGGACTTCATTCAGCATTTGATAAAGCAGACCAGAACCTACTTCTTGATAAGATAGAAAAATGTGGGTAAGATGGCATCACTACCACATGGATTCATAACTGGCTGACCAACAACACTCATCGTTTAGTTGTTAATGGAACTGCATCTACATGGAGGGAAGTATGCAATGGGGTACCTGAAGGCTCTGTCTTAGGCTCAGTACTCTTCAATAACTTCATCAATGATTTACATGACATAGGGAACTTTGCAGATAATACCAAGCTGGCAGGAATATCCAACGCTCCAGAAGATAGGCTTAACATACAGAAGGATCTTGACAGACTTGGCCACTGGGCCCTAGATAACAAAATGATATTCAATAGTGAAAAAAATAAGGTTCAGCATTTAGGCAAGAAAAAACAATGCACAAGTATAGTATAGTAGGTGGTACCTTGCTCAATATTAGTAACTGCAAGAGAGAACTTGGAGTCTTAGTGAACAATCACTTAAATATGAGCCAGCAGGCTGTTGCAGCTGCCAAAAAAGCCAACACAGTCCTAGTCTACATTAACTGGGATAGAATCAAGATTACATGAAGTGTTAACATCACTTTATAATGTCTTGATAAGACCATACTTGGAATATAGCATCAAGTTTTGATTGTCATGGTATAAAGATGATGTTGAAACACTAAAAAGAGTAAGAGAAGAGCAACAAAGATTATTAGGCTAAAACATGAAAGGTTGCAGGAATTGGGTATGTCTGGTTTAATGAAAAGAAGGACTAGGATTGACATGGTAGCAGTATCTGAGGGGCTGCCACAAAGAAGTCGTCAGCCTGTTTTCCAAAGCACCTGAAGGGAGAACAGGAAGCAATGGATTGAAACTAATCAAGGAAAGAACCTAGAACTAAGAAATTTCCTGACAGAACAACTAATCAGTGGGATGATTTGCCTACAGAAGTTGTGGGTACTCAATACTAGAGGTTTGGAAGAAGAGATTGGACTATCATCTGTATAGGTTTCCTGCCTGAGCAAGGAGTTAGACTAGAAGACTTCAAAGGTTCCTTCCAAGTCTTGTTCTGTGTAAACTGGCCCATTTTAGAGTGATCCAACTCTGGAATCTTCAGTTCACATATTAGGTAGATATCCATTTCACTTCCACATGCAAAAGTATTTCAATGTGCCACGCCTATAAAAGTGTTTATTTTACTAGTTCCAAAGGCTGTCATTAGCAATCATGTATTTATGGCAAAGAACTTTCAGATTATTGACTTATTGATCACATCTTTACAGAATATAGGTAGTCCTTATTTAACAACTGCCTCTTTTAGAGACTGCAGTTACAATAGTGATAAAAAAAACCTTTATGACTAATCCATTCGTAGGTCTGTAAAGCAAAGAAAAGCTGACGTTTTAAGCGCAATCCTACAGTATTTCATTTACCAGTTGCTTTGCTTAAGTTATTAGTCCCAGTTGTAGTCACTTAAGCAAGGACTACCTGTATGGAAAAACAATGGTGCTGATTCCCTTAAGTATGAATTTTACAGGTATGTTGGGATAGGTTAGACTTTTCATGTTTAAAATAGATTAATAAAGATTAATGTTTAATTATTATTTAGTATATTTTATTCTGTCTTTTTATATATATAACAAGGTATCAAACACACCTAATATTCCAGCCTCTTGTTTTCCTCACAACTGTGTTGTTGGATACGAAATGGGCAGCAAATAAATTTAATAAATAAATAAACTATGAGGTAGGTTGGGCTGAGAGACTGACAAAATCACTCAAATAGTTTTTGTGCCTAAAGGTGGCTTAGAACTCAGTTTCCTGATTTGATATTGTGATTAAGGTTACCCCTTCATCCCAATATCAAACTGGCTCTCATTTACATGCGATTAATTAGATATCTATCATACAGAAATGAAGGCTTCCTTTAGAAACAAAGAAAGGCGTATTTGCTAGTTGTGAAATGGAACAATTTTGTGACCGTGGCTTCAAAAATAGGTAACAGGTAACTGGGTAAAGGATACTCTAGTTATAGAAAGAAAGGAGGTAAGCAAGCTAAGAATAGATGATCAAGTTAGCATAAAAGGAGATATGAATTGGTGTTAAACTACCATTCCTAATTTAAGAGCTTTTTTCCTCCTGTACACAGTTGCTTGCTATACAACTTACCTTTGTGCTCTAAAAATCACTCAGATTGAATTGTCAGTTTTAATACAATATATACTATGTGTTAATTGGAGTATAAAATGGCCTATAATATTTCAAACAGGTTCCAGTTAAATATTCTTTTAAAGCTTTTCTTATATTCAGTATCTCTCTCTTAGTTTGGCTACAAATTTGTCTAATTTCAGCCATTAATACTAGTGAACTTACTGTCTGAAGTTTTTTTAGGGTTTGGTTTAGGTTTGGTTTATTAGATTTATATGCCGCCCTTCTCCCAAGGACTCAGGGTGGCATACAACATTAAAAGAAATACATAATACAAAAGTTAAAAAAATTAAATAGAATATCCCAAACAAACCCAATTAGAATTGACAATAACATTTTTTTAAAAAAAAATCGAATTAAAATTACCAATGATCAATTTATTTTGTTTTGTTCAGGCCAGGCTGGCTTGCTGGAAAAGCCAACTTTTTAGGGTGCGTCGGAAGGACCGGAGGTCAGGGATTATACGTAGTTCCGGGGGCAGCTCATTCCAGAGGAAAAGCCCTCCCACAGAGAAGGCTCTCCTCCTGGAGGTCGCTAGCTGACACTGTCTGGCCGACGGGACCCTGAGGAGGCCAACTCTGTGGGATCACACTGGATGGTGGGAGGCTACCGGTGGCAGTAGGTGGTCTCGCAGGTACTCTGGGCCTAAGCCATGGAGTGCTTTAAAGGTCATAATTAGTACCTTGAATCGCACACAGGAGACAACCAGCAACCAGTGCAGGCCGCCTAAAAGGGGTGTAACATGGGAGCACCTAAGTGCCCCCATGATAACCCGCGCATCCGCATTCTGGACCAGTTGAAGCCTTCGGGTGCTCTTCAAGTCCCATGTAGAGAGTGT